GTTATCTTTATATATTCATTTGTATTGCACAGCTCCTAATGTGTATTGTAGTGACTCATGGAAAATTATGCGTTTCTTACTTTTTTCATTTTTTTTAATTAATTTTTGGGTTCATCAGATATCGTGCCATTACTAGTGCTTATTACCGAGGTGCCGTTGGTGCATTACTCGTATATGATGTCACACGTCGTCCTACTTTCGAGAATGCTCTGAGATGGCTTAGGGAGCTGAGAGAACACACGGACCCAAACATTGTGGTCATGCTCATCGGAAACAAGTCAGATCTTCGGCATCTTGTGGCTGTCTCAACTGAGGATGGCAAGGAATTAGCTGAGAGGGAGTCTCTGTACTTCATGGAGACCTCTGCTTTGGAAGCTACAAATGTGGATAACGCATTCACTGAAGTCCTTTCTCAGATTCATAAGATTACAAGCAGAAAAACAGTTGAGGCCGGAGATGAAGCTGCTACTTCCTCTGTTCCATCTAAAGGGGAAACAATTAACATCAAAGATAACACGTCTGGTTGGAAGAGATTCGGGTGCTGTTCTGGTTGAGACTGGTAAGCATTCGGGAAATTGAGGATAATATTATATGGCACTATTTTTTTGTTACGTAGCCGTGCGCTTATTACGGGTTCACTAGTCTCCTTTTTTCTTTTCAACAAAATGTTGCTTGTCAGTCTTCTTATGTGTTTTCTCTAGTTGCTTTGGGATCATCAGGAAGGAAAGAGAGTTTTTTTTTTTGTTTTTTGTTTTTTTCGTGTAAATGAAACTTCAAAGGAAGCACAACAATTGCTGTCGATTGTCATTGGTTAGCTTATGATGTTAAGGCGACCGTCAGCCTTAGTTTGTTTTTGGACTGTGATTTGGGTGTTCTTGTGAATGGAATAGCTCTTTCTTATAATATTTAAAAGGACTCATTTCCTCCATGCGGTTATTTTGTTCATAGAATTTATGATTCTAGTTTGGTGTTATTTGCGAGTTAAGATGTGCGCACAGTTTACATGAACTCTTTTGATACCATGATTTGCTACTGTATGTGGAAACTGTGATGTTAAAAGGGAATGTCATGTCTGGGATTGAATAATGGAGTTGAGGTTGATTATGGGAGAGTTGTAAGTTGTGACTGAGACTAATAGATTGCTCTCAAGTTTTGCTTTATTGATGCATTTACTAGTTAATAATCCATAGGTCTCATGTTTGCCCAAAGACGGGGGAAAATTAAATAAAAATCGCAGAGTCGTTGATGTAGAAGAGCGAATAAAATTTTCATTTCTCAACTACCCTTTTCCAAATTTTCAAATGTTGGGGTAAGTATATCTTGAATAACAGCTCCTAAATTTTGTAGGCCACTCGTATAAAATCTCTTTAATTTAAATGTTGTGTTTCGGATTTGGTATTAGGACAAAGTTGAAAGAATGAAGTAAAATAATAGAGCATGAAAGTGATATGAGATACAAAGTCGTATTAGAAAAAAAAAGGGAGCGTGAAGAGAGTCACATAAGTCTAGTAAAATTTCACCAATATTGATGAGATTTATTTTGGGACTTTCTCTTTGTAATTTTATTAAAAAAGTCTTCTTATTTTGAATACAGGGTGACTTATAAAGACTCTCAGAAAATTTTAATTGAATACCTTGAGACTTATAAAAAGTCTTTAAAAGTCTCAATTGAGTACAGGTAAACTTTTTAGAAGTCTCTAAAAGTTCTAATTGAATACATCAGAATTCTGAAAATATTAAAAAATCTCTAAAAGTTGAAATTGAATACAATCCCCTAAGTGTATCCAATAACAAATAATGGAGAAAAGAAATTTACAAGTCACAACATGTAATTTAAGAAGTAAGAAGCATGTTTTTTTTCTTCTTAGATGATTAATGTGCAATGTTACTAACGGGTTTCGACACCTGGTTATGTGGTGCGGGACAGCATAGCAGAGTCTGCCAGGTCACATAGATCGCGGAACAACAGCTTATCCTCTTCCCTAATGGGCACAAAGTGGGTCACATCTGTATGGGCCCACATGGGGCCCACGAGGGTTGTTGTCCCCTCCATCAACGTGGAGCCCACATGACAAAGCCAGCCGAGCTCCCCAGCTAGTTCTGCAAAGGCTGGCTCGATGTCCGGCTGGCTGCCAAACTCTTCACTGAGTGGAGAGCTGGGCTTGATATCCGGCGGCTGCTGGTGGTAGTTGCGTGTGGTATTAGGGTGGTTATGGTCACAAGCATATGATATGAGGAGTGTGGTGAGGTCAAGGCGGCTCCGCTCAACTTGTTTTCTGGCTGGGCAACCTTTTGAGCTACTACACCGGCCGATAATATCCCCTGCGCTCACGTGAAAAACATGCAACACATCATTATAAATAAATTATTGTGCTACCAAAAACATATATCAACACTTGTCTTATCTGTTATCTCTAGCTTATATAATATTGATAATGAATTATCCTGGTCCCAAAGATTCCAAGTTCATAAATGTAAAGTAAGTGGAAAGAGAGATAAATTATAAAGGAAAAAAAAAAACAGTGTTTCAATACAAAATGAAGTAAAGAACCGATTTTAATCCAAATTCAATACAGTCAACTGCAAATTTTGATGTGGGCCACTATATATTAATTCAAGTGAAAATAGCTACTTTCACTCTGTTTTGAAGTCCTCCTAAGTTTTTCACACCACCCAATAAAAAGCTAAGTTTTTCACCCCAAAAAGTACGAAGATATATGCGATGAACTATGCGATAGATAGATGACCGGTATGAGCATGGACGAGAAAATTATGAGTTAAAGTATGCGACTGTTCTGCGACGAGTATGCGGAAATTCGATGTACGATTCGGTCAATCGCGGTCCGTCGCCCATTAAATAATTATTCTTGTTAGGCGAATGAATCTGCGACTATTAGTCGAAAAGATTATTCTGCTAGATACGAACGTCGAATATTATTCGCAGAGTTGGTGCATTATAAGGTTTTTTTCGTAAAATATTTTTTATTATTTCTTTCATCTTTCAGTTATGCGATGGGGTATGCGAATTTCCGCATATTTCTCGCACTTCTACTCGAAAGTTATTTTTTATTTCTTTCAGTTATTTCAGTTATGCGAGGGGGTATGCGTATTGCCGCATATTTCTCGCATATCCCCTTCGCACTTCTACTCGAAAGTTTAATTTTTATTTCTTTTTTATTTCTTTCACCTTTCAGTTATTTCAGTTATGAGATGGGTATGCGAATTGCCGCATATTGCTCGCATACCCCCTTCGCACTTCTACTCGAAAGTTTATTTCTTATTTCTTTCATCTTTCATCGTTTAATTTAGTTTAATTATTTTCTTTCAGGTATGAGAAACGCCACATACATACAACAAACAACAAAAGTATAATAAAATGCAAAAAACAAAAAAAAAATGTATTACATGAGTAATTACAGAACTGGGGAGGTAATAATTGTTACATAATTGTTTCTGGTTCTGTACTAAACTGAAAAATTTATTGAGTAATTTTGCGCCTCATGTCCGTAGCCCACTGCTGGTTAGACTTGTCTAAGGGCTTGCTCCCCATTAGCAAAGCTCGTACCATCTCCACAACGCATACACCACAAGAAATTTTATCATGTTGCAAGATAGTATTTTTGAGGTTCATGATTTTCAAATCGAACTTTTTGCTCACCCTCTCTACTCCCGCATACGTCGCAATCAGTGGAATTAGATTTTGGACTTTTTTGAATTCTTTGACGCGGGATTCGCCAATGTGCTTATCCGCCTTTTTTTGATATGTATGCCGTAGAGGGTCATACACACGTATCGTCCCCTCGAGTAAAAAGATCTAGAAAGCTACGTAGTGCTCCGACAAATTCGCAACTCCAATAATCTGTTGCATTGAGTTGTGAGAAATTCACTAATTTTTTAGGAAAGATTGCAATATTAATTGATTCGGAATCATTGAAAACTTACAGATGTAATATCCCTCCAAGTAGACAGATTCCTCCAATCGCTGACCCCCTCATTCGCATAGTGAATCAAAGATTGGAGGTTGTCCGAGTCCGCTAGCTCCTTTTTAGCATGGACCTCCTTCTCCAATTGCCCCAGAAACCACTATATAAAATACAACAAAATAATAAATAATAATGTAATTAATATAATTATTAATAAAAATGGAATGACAAGGAAAAGAGAAAGGATTAAAATAATCTCACAAAAAACGTAGTCGGCACGATGGTATAACTACCCAACATGTTGTCCGCTGGCTGGAACCCCAAAAATAGTGGATTGCTTTGCATAATCCCCAAGTATGCATTCACGTGCTGTTTTATAATATTGATAATGAATTATCCTGGTCCCCAAAAAAAATGCAGATTCCAAGTTCATAAATGTAAAGTAAGTGGAAAGAGAGATAAATTATACTTAAAGGAANTTATAAAAAAAAAAAAAAAACAGTGTTTCAATACAAAATGAAGTAAAGAACCGATTTTAATCCAAATTCAATACAGTCAACTGCAAATTTTGATGTGGGCCACATCCCTATATATTAATTCAAAACGTTCTGAGTCTAAGAGGCAGGCTCGCATACTTTGAGATTTTATACGGCAAAATTACATGCTTTGTTATTAGGTTTGGTAGATTTTAATTTACTTCCAATTCAAAAATAATTTGGTCCAGATTATCCATAAATATGTTAATTATTTATGGTCATGTTTTATTTATTAATTGCATTTTAATATTAGTTTTTATTATAAACATTGAATTGTAAATATATTTTAAAAGTTAATAATTTTTGTATTTTTTTATCAGTTTTATATATATAATATATCAAATTAATCATCTCTTGATGAGTTTCGACTTAACATCCATATTGTATGTATAAAAAAAAATTATATTTATCTTTATAACAATAATAAAATTATTTTTTAATATTAATTAGAAAAATAAAATTATTTATCAATTAATATATTTATATTTTCAAGTAATTATATGATATAAGTTATAAAAATTACTATAATATAATACATGTAAGTCGCACAAGTAACAAGTGTCATTCTTATAAAATATATAATAATATATATTTTGTAAAAAAGTAAATAAAATTTAGAATAATATTTCTCATTAATTTTAAAATTTAGGAATAATATTTTAACAAACACTTGTGTAATACACGGGTGTTGTACTAGTTTGATTGAAAGTGGAATCACAAGATATACCATCACGTACTATCTTGTTTTATGTAAATTTTGCATATAATCAATAATATGGTTTATTTATATCAGTGGGCGTATGCTTTTTCTACTTTATGCCGTTGTTTCCTGTGAGATGTGATCCCAAACCCTGTCAGCAACCGGATTGAGAGAGAGTTAATTGTATTTTCTTTCATCATTGCCATTGTTTACGCTTCTTTAATTAATTAACTAAAATTATAACTATGAGTAATTGAAAAATAGTTAAAAGAATTTTAAAAGACATTTGAGTTATTTTATTGGTCCTTGTACTGTCTGAAATATTGTAAAACACAAATAAATTTTGATTAAAAAAAATTTATTGTTCGTCTATAATTTATTTCATTCTTTTTAAATAAATAATGATTGATTTTTGGAGAGTTGGGTGTGATTGAATATGGATTTGATTAGTTTTTAATTGGCTTTTTTGTTAACCATATTTAATTTTGAAAAAGCTGGTGCAGTTAGTTGTTAGTAGAAATTTAAGTTTTAATTAAAATAATATTTAAAACAAAATTATTAAAGTTGATTTGATGTAAAATAGTAGACAAGTGATGTGAATTGATGGTTAGTTAAAATTATATAAGTGAATGAATAATGAATTAAAATTGATGTTATGTGTAAAATGATTGGTTGATATTATTTAATTATTGATAATCTATATATATATATATATATATATATTTGCCAACAAGTCATTAAATAAAACCTAATAAATTTTACTTATGTGGCATATTATTAAATAAAACATAATAAATAAAATCTAATAAACTTTACCTATGTAGCATTAATTCACCCTATCCGGTTAATGATAAAGTATTTCATTGCTCTCTTTTTTGTGTTAATTAGGATACATTTTATATTAGTTGAGTAATAATTTTATTTTTTTATTGAATCATATAATAGTTATTATGAAAATTAATAATTATATTTTACACTAAATGATATACGAAAATTACATAAATATAAAAGATTATATTGTAAAAACTTTTTGCTTAAATTTTTTATTCTAAAAATTAATATTATATTTTTTATTTGATTAAGTGATTGTTTTTTAAGTAAACTAATATATTTTAATATCATAGTAAAATTCCTTAAAATCACATAAGTAATTGTTATAATAAATTTAATATATTTCAGCTAATTAATTGGTCATGATCTCTCAAAATTACAAAAAATACATTATTTATTACATTTTGTGCAATCAATATAGTGATTCGTATGCAATCAAAATGTTATGTACTATTTATTTTAATCAATGATCAAATTTTAAAACATAATGTCATTATCTAACTTATGATTTTAATATTATCTGCAAACATATAACTTATAATACCCTATATTTAAAATATATACCATTATCTAACTTATAATTTTAATATTATCTGTATACAAATTAATACTTTATTTATATGCGTACAAATGCACATGGTCGAATGTTATTATTGATGACAGTGGGATTAAATTAAATTTGAGTTTTAATTGATTTTTTTATGGATTGAATTTATATCCAATCACACAACTTTTCTGACAAATTCTATTTAACCATTTGTGTCTCGATTTATATGTTGCTCTAGGTTAAAAAATGAAATAAGTTTACTTGATTAACATAACTGAATGTGGATTTGAAGGTTAGTTTATTATTCAATAAGTGTTTTTAATCAATACGAGGCATGTCTGAAGGGGGCAAAATAAAATTTGCACTGAGAATATAAAACTCAGGAGAATGAAATAAAAATAATAATAAAGTCTACAATTATGATTATATTTGATAAAATTAGTTGATAAGCTAACTTATAGTTTATAAGTAATTTTTGAGCTTATAGCTTATAATTATGACTTATAGTTAAAAAGATAGGTTATATAATAAAAGTGTTTGATAAAATTAGTTGATAAGTAGCTGAAATAAATAACGTGCTTATTTGAAATGCTACCCAGAGAAGCTTATGAGATAAGCTCAAGTTTTTTTAAAAAAACTCGTCCTACCAAACGAAGTTTATATCAATACAGAAAGTTTATAAACTAATCAAATAAGTTATAAACTAACTTATATGTCTACCAAACGTAGCCTACATCTATATTGTAAATGCAATTGTGTCATTCTTGGAACTCAACAAAGTTAGAAATGATTGAATCTCACCTCTTTGTTTGTTGCTCAAAAAAACGAAATGAAATTCAACTGCGCATGATAATATGCATTTTTTTCAATATAAATTGTCAAAATAAGGGTAAAAATTCAATTTTAGTCTGCTAACTTGTCCATTGTCCACTTTTGGTACACTATCTTTCCCCTCATAAAAAATGGTCCATTATGTTACATTTTTCATCAGTTTTAGTACGCTACTCCAGTTGGCGGGATTACAAGATGACGTGAACCGGGATTGGAAGGCGGGATTACAAGATGACGTGGACTTGATTTAGCATCTCGTAATCCCGGGCCAACTGGAGTAGCGTACTAAAATTTTAAAATTTTAATCTTGTTTTTTCTTTCTTTCACTTGATAAAATTTTTTGGAAGAATTTAAAATTTTAAATTACTTTCTTTCACTTAACTAAGTTTTGGGAAGAATAATTTAAAAATTTAGATCAATTATAAGATGAAAATGTAATAATAAAATTAATATTAGATATATTTTTTCAATGAAAATTCATCATTTTCTAATTTAATGTGCTATATATGTTAGTAGAATATCCATTAATTTTTTATTGAAAGTTATAGGAAATTAAGTTAAATAATATTTAAATAAATAAATGAAAATTACATAAAAAATATTTTTTTCTTTTTAACATACATTAAAATTAACAAATAATAGCAAGCAATAGATGAAAATTCAGTGAAAAATAATATAAATATATATAAAAATAATATTTGTAAGAGAGTAAATAATTTTATATTATACACCACGATCATGTAGTTTAAGAAGTATCATTTAACACTTAAACTAATGCATGCAACGTTGAAAAACCAAAGTTTTCAAAAGTAGATTAGTTATTGACTGTAGAACTACTGTTTAAATTATTGATTGATTGAATAAACCAAAGTTTTCAAAAGTAGATTAGTTATTGACTGTAGTCTACTGTTTAAATTATTGATTAATTGAATAAGTGGTTGAACTTTTATTTATTTATAAATACTTTTAATATTTTAAATAATAAAGAATAGGGTTAATTGCCAAAAAAACCCAACATTTCTTAAAGTTGCAAAAAAAACTCAACTTCTTCAATATAGCATAAAAATACTCAACCTTTCAAGATTTTTGAATTGTGTCTCGAAGGAAGATTCCGGTCAATTGGAGCTGAGGTGGCTTACCGGAAAATTGACACGGGCAACGACACGGGCAAGATGACCGTGTTACGGCCCGTGCCGCGCAAATACTCTTCACCTCTCTCCAACTCATTCTGCTTGCAGAAACTCTTCATCATAATCGAATGCGTGAACTCATTCTGGAAGCCTCTAAGTCTAATCTCGCGAGCTACAGTCTCCGGCCACAACATCAAAATAACCATGATCGATGAAAGAGTTCAGGAGCACATGGTAAGCTAGCTCGTCAAGGTCCACGCCTAGGAACCGCATTTCGCCATACACCTGGAGTGCAGTCTCGGGTTTACCTGCCACGGCATAACCCATCACCAATATGTTGTAATGCCTGATCTTGTGAACATACCTCTGCTTCATATAGTTCTGCAGAAACTCCAGCATCAAGTTCATCATCTTGGCTTTGGATATAATCCGGAAAATGGCATCGAACGTTGTTCTCGTGTGGTGGAAGCCCGGCTGCCGGTCGGCCCAATCGAAGAATTTCAAGCAGGAGAGGACGTCCTTCTTGCCGTAATCCAACACATCGAGAATTAGGATTTACGATAGCCTGAGATTCAATCGGGAAAGGGCAGAGTCGGCGGCGGACTCCTGCTGGGTACGGAGGATCTCGAAGACGGTGTCGAAGAGGGGTTTCTTTCGGGACATGAACCATTCTCTGAAGTATGAAACAATTTCGTTTGGATGCACCTCGAGCTGAGATCCATCTGGGGCCGTTGGATTAGGGGAGGAAGGAGACAGGGAATGTGATGGGGAGAAGGGATAAGAACTGTGCGTCAGTGAGGAGTAGAAGAACTGTGTCGTTGCCCGTGTCAATTTTCCGGTAAGCCACCTCAGCTCCAATTGACCGGAATCTTCCTTCGAGACACAATTGCAAAAATTTTGAAAGTTTGGGTATTATTATGCTATATTGAAGAAGTTGAGTTTTTTTTGCAACTTTAAGAAAGGTTGAGTTTTTTTTTGCAATTAACCCTAAAGAATATATATAAAATCATTATTAATTATATATTTAAATCATTCAAATGTCTAAGTTAATTGAAATAATAATTTCTACAAAGAAAGTGGCTCGCAAATAGAGCTCAGCTCGTTAAGTTAACAAAGCAATAAATAAGCTCGAGTTCGATTTATTAATGAGCTGCCTTATGTAAAAAAACAATAAATGAGCGTAAAAGTCTCTATTTATCAAGTTTAACTAGCCGAGTCGTTAACTAAACGAGTTTGAACTCGACTTGTTTATCAAATGTGACGAGCTAAACTCGACTCTTAACAAATCGAGCTGGATGTACGAATGACTTGATTTGTTTAATAGCTCTATTCGTGAACCATCAACCAAGTTAGAAAGAATTAAATTATTTTGCAAGTATTTGGATATACTCCACCAATGGGCTTTAATGATGCTTATATAACCAAGTTAGAAAGAATTCAAAGATGATGTAGGCACAAGAAATTTCAATGCCATAATGCCCACATTATTCCATTATTCAATTTCTGAAGATTACTATATTATCCTTCTCATAGTTAATTTTGACAGACTTGCACAAATCCACCCAACAAACCACCTACCCCCGGTGGCAACTAGTACAACATAAAAGTAATCAAGAACCAAATATAATAATGAGCACACATGTATAATTGAGTGCTTGTATTCATCCAAAGCATCATAAAATTAGT